TCTGAGTTGAACACTTTTTGGGAACTGAACGCGCTGGGCGCACGTGTATTCATTTGGAAAGCCATAAGAGAAAAATATTTCAGTGATACTCGATGTTAGAAGGATAATTAAAATATGTATTTAAATCAGAATTCTTGACAGTAAAATAATGTAAAAGGTATTTTTGTATTAATATGTGGTTTGTATCATGCACTCGGATGTAGGAAACGTTAGAAACGGATCAAATGTTTGAAAATTTCATTACACGGAGTTGCTCGGAATTACGTGAAGTGTTTGAAAGTTTTGGACACCTGAAAATTAACTCGGTTACTCAAAATTAACAGTAATGGCCTCGAGTAATCCATCGGATTTTACCCGAGCCGAGAAGTTGCCTACTTAAATTTTAAACAGTTCCGGATTCTAAATAGCCCTATACATTTTTAATACACCGAAAACTTTCCAATACTCGACCATAAATGCTTCATAATTTTGTTAAAAACCCGTGCGATACATCCGTTCGCGTTGAATATTGTATTACATAAAAAAAGCTACAATTACAAATTATATTTTAATTAATTTCGATTCCATTAGTTTCAATGACGAAGTAGTACAATTTTTGGGAATATGGGGTTTTTAAAATAAATACTCAGTAAATTTCATATAATGCTATTTTATTATATGACTCGGAAGGACATCTTCATACCTCGACACTCTAGACGAGACTAACAAAAATGCACGACGGAAAACTGGTACTTAGAGTTGGAAGAAACATAGCCTGGACCTGCAATGTGTTTATTACCTCGGCCTTTAAGGGTAGGAATACGGTCCCATAAAATAACAAAAGTAGACCCTAATTTTTATAATAGACTAGAGTGTCTCTCATTATAATGATTTATTTTTGCTTATTATTAAATAATAACTAATTCAACGAATTATATATTATAGAATATATTAAAATATCCTGGAGTTCATGGGTTTAAAGTTTATTCCATTACTTGGTGACTTGGACGTGTCATCTTATTTGCTAAGTAGATAAATCCGTGCAGATCAGACACTGGTAAGCCGTGTTGTTCCTTCGCTTTAGTCCAAGTTGACTCACGCACGGAGACCATAGGGCACCGTACAAACACACCGTAATCCAATCCGATAATAGTCAGACGGTCAATTAAGATGACCGTCATAAGAACCAATTAAACGTAAGTGGTCGACGGCCTAGCTCGGGTTACGTATTTACGATCTGAAATTATGCCTTTTAAGTGGCTCGATCTCTCATCATCTGACACAGGGATTTCTTTGGATCGCTCCCATGACATCTGTCTTCCCGTTGGTCGAAGCAATCTTTCTCGTACCAACGTCAGATTTCATTCAATTAGTACAGGCACTTAAAATTGTTTATCGAGTAGTCTATTGAAACAAACACTTGACATGTTCACTGATAACGATTAATTAGTTGACAAGAAATATTTATCTCGTAGTTTTTAATAGTGGTGATAAATGATTTTGCTTCCTGTAATTCCTTAACTCTAAATAGAAATCGCAAAGGGAATTCGTGGGGACAGTCGAATTAAAACTGTGGCGCATTTCGTATTTCGATTCATACGAATTAACACTTTCAATTAATTATTGACGTACTACTTCTGACCGGGGCATAATGAAGCACGTTATCGGAGATATTACCGGCCGATACGAGCTTTAAATTGTTTTCGATGATCGTTTAAAATTTCGCTTGTTTTCTGGTCGTCGCGGCGCGGCGCGAGTCAGTCCGCACTGTAAATATGATGCATATTATCATCAACCGGTGACCTTGGTAATTAATCACCGTGTTAATCGAAACGTTTGCTTAATAAGTACGCCGCGCCGCACGAGGCCGGGGGGAAAAACAGGGTCGCAATTCATTTAGCAATTATTTTATGCAATGCACGCGTAAATTCAGTGAAAGGTGCCATGAAACATGCACGCGAGCTCGCGCGCTTTCCCCGGCCAACAAAGTGGAAAATTTCGAAACGAGTGCGAGTCCGTCCGCCTAGTAATTTGACCAATTTCATGACTAATTGGGGGTCAACGAAAGGAACGGGATTCGCTCGAAATATCCATTGATAAACAAACGATCAGCTCGTTTTCCTCGTCGACGAAAGGACGTTCTATCGATCATTCTACAACATCGGTAGAAGAGTGTACGAGATCCGTCCTTTGAGAAAGTAGGTTTTTCAGACCCTGGTTGACCCGGTTTCTCACGGTTAGAAGTGGTCACCAAACGAGTTCCCGCAAAAGGTATAGAAAAAAAGAACCCGAGGAGCGGTTATTAAATATACCTCTAAGGGTGACCAGAGAAAACGTGTCCGTTACCTCCTCGTTAATCGTACCGTGTTACTCCGTTTCCTCGTGTTTTCCTTGTCGCTCTGACTTGCCTTCTCGTTAGCGTATAAACGTTCTTTTCATGCTTGGAAGTTCTCATTTTATTAAGGCGAGACGGAACTCTATCGTATATCATTAAACTGATTGTGAGCACGCCACTTGTCACAAACATACCTGACTTGTACATGATTTAAGAAAATTACACTTTGTCCGAAACGGACGAAGGGGAATCGAAAGTGAGTAGATCGAATTGAGGAGTTTTCGTTCTCGATGGGTGATGAGAGACCTCGAGCGAAGTCTCGTTCGTTCTCTGAGAAAAATAAACGATCGACCGTAGGGTAGACCGCTGCCTAACAATTGTCCCTTTTGAGCCGGGACGGAAACGGGAAGAGCATGGTCAATACTTTGGTGATCGAAACGGTGGAACCCGCAGTTAGCTGATATACATATGGCGCCGGCCCGTTGATAGATACCAGAAATTTTACAACTTTAATTTCTCCCTGGACGTCAATTTCGAATTTTAATCTTGAACGTAGCCACCTGGCCAGGTGACAAGAATTACTGCCGCTGGTGGTTCGAGGTCTTTTAGGCCGCGATTTCCGCGTCCGCTGCACCGCGTGTCTCGTCGCCGACAATTTCCCGGCCGGCAATTTTCACTTGGCAATGTGCACGAGTGCAGCGCAAATATGTTGAAATTCTATAAAATGTCCGCCGCGATGAATTCGTTTCCCGATGACCGCCACGGACGATCCAGCCGGAGGCTCGCTCGTTTTTACTAATCGTCGCGCGATACAGGGGCGGATTCCTCCAATTTTTATCAGAATTAAACGCAACTTTATAACAGAACAGTTCCTCAAGCTTCGAATTGTTATTAACGCATTTGATTGATACATATTCGCTATTGAAATTAATATCGTATTTATTGAATCATTAAAAAGCAATGTGCTAATATTCTCGGTTTTTTAGTACGAAAATCGACAGTGTAAGTAATATTTAATGGAATAATTGATTCGTTTTCGCGACAATTTAGAATCGTTTAGAGGAGCAACTGTCGAAATACTTATTGACCGGGCCGATTCGGTTTTAATACACGCTAAGGGTTTAGATTACTGTCGATCCGAATTGGTCGCGAGTCGATCAATTGAAAAATCGGCTGCCGGTGATAGACAGTTTAAAACAGAAAACAACATTAATTGCTTCCCAATAAAGTGACCACTCGAAAATTGAACAGGCTGCTGATCGATAAGCAATTTTTATTGAATCCAGATACGTTACTTCGCGTTTCATTTCTACTGGTTTCGCGCGCGTACACGCCGTTTCGCCGCTTACCGATCGATCGTCGAACCGCGTAGATGTTACGTAATATTTTGGGAAAGGAACGATTGATTCCGAATTGATAAGCCCAAGTGGAGTACGATTACTTAAGTCGACGGTACGCGTGTTTGTTCTCGCATCAGGCGACTGTCTGATTATCGCGAACGTGGCGAAATCTATGAATACCAGTTTCTTTCGATAACGAATCGTCCTATCGGGTATAATAATCAAAACGTGTTAATAAGAAAAATTTACTTGTATTATCGCAATGAGAATCGCACGTGAACAAGATAATTATCTTGTACATATCAATGTCATTAAATACAATTGAGAGCTACTGTTTTATACTACAACTGGTTTACTTTAATAAACTGAAATTAAGGAAACCGACGGTTCAGGTTTTTGGTTGCATATTTAAGACTGTAACCAAAATGTAATGTCATTCTTGTTTGAATTTATTCTTGTATATTCAATCAGATGAATTGGTAAAGCTAGTCTCGGAAATACATCAGGTGTATTCCTGTTTGGATCTGTAGACTCAGGTGAAGGTGTTCCCATTGGGAATTTTGATTTCAGATGTGATATTAATATTTCGATATTTAACATCTTCGATTATTCTCTTTTACGACATTAATGTAATTAACTAAATTTAATGAGGTTTAATGAAGTGACAAAAATGTTCCTTAGTCGCTATTAATCCCCTTGACTGACAAAGATACAAAAGGTACTACAGTATTGAAAGGCAAGAGACCTTTTTTCACAATGCACAGGGTCCCAAAGGACTTTGTAATCGGTGATAGAATTTTTTTGAAACAGCATCAGGTGCATTCCTGTTTGGGACATCCCATGACAGGATAATCTTACACTGTACCGTTTCAGGTATGCCTATTGTCATTCCTCTCTACTATTCACCTGAAGAGTCTCGCGTTCACGAGTGGACACTTTTTTCTCATCCTCCCTTTACAAACGGGCCATTGACGAAACTCGAATATCACCAAAGACGAGCCGGTCCTTGTATTGTGTCGGTCACAAAGCTCGTTAATTAACGTATGCTATGGAACATTATAGCGAATTTTCCGAATTTGTTAGAAGGAAATACGCTTCTGTCGCTTATTGCAGTATTAAGGGATATAATATAACAAAATCAATGATCAATAAAAAAGTCATTTATTTTCGTCCTTACAGTTTCTTCTATCTACAATAAAATTTAGTGCACCCTGTAATTAATCTATACAATATACATTATCAGTATTTTTCACATCAGGTTGATACTTCATTACTTTGAATTAATCTCATGCCAAGAACATAAAACACATTGAATAGAGATCATCATATTTTAACTTGACGGAGACTTCTCTGTGGCTTAATAATCGACTAAGTTACCCATAGCGAACGGTGACTTATTGGTTGTCTTCAAATAAAAGTTGCCCTTGATATTAAACTTCGGCAGAAGACCTCCCATCAGGCTAAGAAGATTCGTCTTGCATTTACCATTCAGATAGTTGTCATAATTGTCGCAATTCCTTCCTGCAAATCCTACTTTACTGTCGATGGATTCCGCGTAATAAAAGTATGATCGAGAATGTGAACACGCGCCGCCGTCGACGTTTATGCAACCATTCTGTTTTGTACCACCATTTGGGAAATAGTCAGCATCGCCTATGGATGATTTGTAACCTAGGCCACCAGCGTTCGTGTGGATCACTTGAACATAGTTCGCGTCGCCTTTAGACACTCTGGTACCTTGGCCAGATGAGTAGAAGTTAGGCAAAGCTGGGTCCAGAGCTGCAAACAAATATTTCTTAATAACTTCTGTTTTTTATATATTCCTCTCAATGAAAATTAGTTATCAAAAGTAAATGATAGGTGTTTGTTATTTGTACTCACCAACGACGTAATGTGCTTTGCTTTTCGCATAATAAGATGACAGTCCAGCGATGTGACCACCTAGTGAATGGCCAACGATAGTCAGTTGAGACGTTCTCATTCCTTGCGACACGAGGAAGTCAATCATTTTGGAAACGTATTGAGCTACCATCAGAACGCGTTTGCTTGCCCATAAGTATGGTCTCTTAGATATGGAGCTCCAATCAACCACTATCACGTTATAATCGCCGTTTCTTAGAAATGCTGGAAATTAATGGAAATATTTGATATAAATTCTCCAGCACCCTTTATAAAATTGTAATAATCAAGTTAAATCATTAATTGTAATGCAATTTCACTGTTGAACATCGACTGGGAAATCGAGACTTGAAAATTACAGTGAAGATAAACGTACCCTCGCGAACCAAGGTGCAAGCTTTGCTCTTTTTGGAATTCATCCATCCATGGGTAACGAATTTTGTTTCCTTTCTCGCGTTAAACTGGCTCTTTTTCAATCCAGCGACGTCGTTCAACTGCAATTGCTGCGGATTGTTCCCAGTTTGTTTCGTGTACAAATAAAATAAAACACGCGTCTGCAAATCCTTTTCGGTGTCCTTGTCGCTTTCTGGGTAATTTACCCCCAGATCTAATTTCACAAGTTTACCGTTGTCATCATGTACGTACAAGTCATTTCCCAATGTATCAATCGAAGATTCAGCATCCACTGAGATCTCGTTCCTTGAGCTATTTTCTATCACTGGCACAGCTGTGAACAATAATTGTTGTGGTATAAAATAAAAATCAAGAAAAATTAAAAATTGTACAAAAAAATCCCAATTTGAGTCGAAATAGGAAAGTATCGTCTTTTTGAATGAAATGAAAGAGGTTGATTACGTCCAGAAATAAAATATGAAAATGCGTGAAATGTTTCTGTATACGAATATTTAAGTTTACCAGTGACAGTGTAGAGGAATAAGAATCCCGCTAAGATCTTCATGATTGACTCGATCCTGACTGATGCGGTTGACTGATCGCTCGTTTATAAAGCAATCGGCTATTATCGATAAGATAAAGTTTTATTGTTATGCACAACGCGATGCGTAATAATCAGAGATGAAGGAAGAATGTCCCTTTCACTGTAGGCGATGTATCTAAACAACTAGCAACCGCGTTACACTAGAAAAAACAGTACTCGTACAGTCATAAATGATTGAACATCGTCTAATGCTAAGTTTTACTTATATAGGAAACTGAGACTCCCAAACTGATGTTATTACTTTCGAAGGGAATTTGCGTGAAGTGGTGAAATTATTTTGAAATTTCATGATTCATGATTGCGATGAAATCGGATGGGATGAGGAAAGTGTTCTCTTTTCCTGGTTGGTTCAGACGCGGGAACTGGTTTCACAGTAATAGTGTAAATAATATCTTCTCCCCTTATAATTATGATTCAGTACATTAAATGATTTGGACATTGAAAATGTATCATAGTATTAATTGTAGTATGAGAATGCAAATATAATTTTTGCGAATGTGTGTTTATTCAAATCCAGAGATTATTACAACTAATGATGGAATTGGTAACGTTTCTTTCCTGGTAGTAATCACCATGTCTCTTGATAGCTACTAGAGATTATGCAGAATATAATTACGGAAAATTTGATGAACGTGTGCCACCGTATTCGCCAATTTTGTTGATAATTACATACATAATCTATAGCTACATACAATACATGTATTCGATGACTGTTTCATTATGGGATACCAATCATATGTATATAGAATGATGATCGTGCATATTTAATTACAATTAATAATCTACACATAATAGTATTTCTAACATTTTTTTAACAGATCTGTAATTAATCGACGTTAATTTTATCAATGTTTGAAACAGTATTATTGAACTATCAATTGATATTCTTGTAGTTAAGACATGACACGTTTGATGCTATTTACTTCGACTTCCATTGAGTCAATTTTTATAAAACGTAAATAGAGTGCTTTAGAAATTAGTAATCAGTCAAATGGAAGTTATCTGTTCGATCTTCGTAGAAAAAAAACCAAATCTTCTTATCTTTCTTTCTCACTAGCTTTATCAGGATTTCTACAGAATCATTATAAAAATTGATGTAGAGAAAGATTATATTATCATTCAAGAAAGCACTATAATTATATTTCTTGTCAAACCAGATTTATGCTTGTTAAAAATCGCAGCTCTCCTTATCATTTACGGTAGTCTAGTCGTTCTTGCGAAATGTTCTTTAAACAATGTCGATCGTGCACCATCGATTTTCGTTGGTTTATCAAAATCCGTGGACAATATAGGGACAATTTAATTCGGTAAAGGTGTCACAATGAACTAATTCGTTTATTTGTATCGGCATGATATTAAGCGCGTCATATTTCGATTCAATACGTGTATGTTCATCCTGTTTATTTGTGCTTTTGGGTCCTTAATTATGAAATAAGTTGGACAAAAACCTACGCGATGAATTACAGGTTTTAATTCGCGATTCGACACACATCCTTTTGTTTCGTAGGTTGTTTTCCGAATTTAAAAAATAAATACAATGCGCCGCATATTTTCAACGTTTACGCAATGGTTACTTACATATATAAATCGTACGTTTTTATGCATTTATGGAAAATTCAAATGTACAAAAAACAGGATTCATGCAACATTCGAATGTATAGCATTACAAAATATCAAAAGTAAACATAATATGTTCGCTAAAATGTATTGCGAAATATCCAAGTAAACATATTCATTCAATAGGTGAAACAACGTTTTGAAAAGTGATTTGACATCTTTCCAAGGATAACTGTTGGCCTCGAGGAACGAGCGAAGAATTCTCATAGCGATTCCTTCCTGAATAAAGGACACTCCGTTTAACGCGTTTTTACACGATTACCGGACCTTAATTCAGTTATTTTGACGGCGTTTCGTGGCGCGCGTGTAATCCCCTTCGGGGCGAGAAATAAACGACCGAAAGGAAAAATCTCGGAGTTAAGGGTTTAAGAGACGGAAACCTGTTGTGCCCCGGCCAACTCCACCGGCTTCCCGCGTTCTTTTTTCCCCGTCGTGGCCGTCGCAGATTCTCACCCTCCGAGCGTAGCGTTCGTTTCTCAGACAGAATCAAACAGGTCTGTGTAACTACCGCGTGTGTGCCGGGGTATGTACGTGTGGTTGGCGAATAAAAACCGGTCTCTCACTTTCACCTCGATCCCTTTGATACTTTTTACCTCGTTCTCCGTTGCAACTCGAACGTAAGCGGGCTGAGCTCCCGCCTTACTGAATATTCCTTTCTTATTTTACCTTTTCCTCCTTTCTATTTCCCTCGAGGCATCGATGAGCATTAATCCCGTACGTGGGCTACGGATTTATCGGGGAAAAGACCGTGTCTCCCTCAAAACTGACCCCATTCGCTTAGTTTCACCCTCCGCTCCTTGATATTCAATTAAAAGATTCCGTTCGGCTGGATCAGCTGTCTAATAATAAATAATCCGCGCACGCTCAGACCGTTAATCAATCGATACAATCGATGGCCAGGAATGCGAGGAAATGGATTGTTAGCTCGTAAAGCGAATGAGAAAATACGTTTTCGCCTATGCTTTCTCCACTTTCGCCGCACGGATATGACGACGCGTTTCACTCAATGGGATCCACTCCGTTCGACGAAAAGTAAAGCAAAAAATTCGTCGATATCGTACACGGTACGCGGTGCATGGTTATTTCAAAGGAGATAAATTTCTTAAAGTGAACGCGTTTCATCAATCAGGATTTTAACTAATACATTTGTATAAAATACATACACGTGTCGTGACCTATATTATATTCCACGGAAGACGGTATCTTCCATATGTAACAGACAAACAAGACAAACTTTTAGAGGAGATATAAGTAATCAGTATACCTAAATTGATTCTGGGTTGAGACAAAAATAGCATTTTTTTATGCGCGTGGAAAAAATGCGAAAAAAAGGAAGAAGTTTTTTCTTTTTTTTCCAACTTAAGCACGAATCGTCTAGGCGAAACGATTCTTAGACGCGGCAAGGACACGGCATTCAGGGTGCGGCCGGTTGCGTGAAGCTCGAAAATGAGGGGTTTGCAGGGAGAGAGATAGGATAGATAGAGAGAGAGAGACACGTAGATTGGCAGCGCGGTGCGGCAGCGGCGCGGGGAGGGGGGGTGAGTTTGGGGATTGTGAAAGCGAGGGCGCCTGCAGTGACTAGCCTCCATCGATTTACCATGCGCCGCCATCTTGCCACCCTTCGCTACGGGGGTTGACCACCCACCCCCCGGACTCCCCCTCGGGTTCGTCGGTGTCGACCCACCCAACCGTCCACCCACCCTTCCACCCCTTTCGAGGCAGAGGCAGACATTTTGAAAAATGATTCCGAAAGTCATCGTGGCTCGGCACGTCGTTTTTCAGCCGACGCGGCGCGCGGCCTTTCCCGCCTGCAACGGCTTCTCACCCTTCGGCCCCTTCTCTTTTTCGGCGCGCAACCCCTTCGTCGGTCGAGGGAAGAAAAAGCGCCACGGAACCCGTAAAAAGAAGGTGAATCCGAAGGTCCAAGAGATAGGAGGATAAATGAAGGGAGCCGATTCAGATGGCTATCTCGCGATACATGGATATTAAATTCGGAATTCCGTCAGTCCACATTCTTGTCGTGATATCATCGATCAAATGGTTTCCTTTAATTGCCCATTAACGTCTAATTAACACTTTTCAATCCTTTGATTTTTAAACCTCTGTAAGTTTTATATATTAATTTTCTTATTGTGACTGTCTTTTCAATTTAATGTTAAACTATTACTTTTAAAATTATTTTAAATATGGGTAATATTGAGCTCATACGGAAAATGGAAACGTGACTGATGACGGCTGAGACGGATTAATAAAAAGGGATATGATTCGTTTTTGGTACAAGGTGCTGGGTTAATTGAGTGAAGGATTTTAAAGAGACCCAGAGTTGCAGCTCTTGTATGAACATCCTAAATCAAAAGAGATCGAAGAACAAAGAAGGCGCGAGAGAAAGATTTCAATCGGGTCTACCAATCGCGAGATAAACAATGCCGGGCATTCGAGAATTCACCGTGCGGTTGATCGGCTCTCGATTAACCTGCAAAAAGGAAAAAAGAATTTTTGTTTTCGTAGAGAAAGAAAAAAATACTGGCTGCCCGCCCTCGCGGGATATCGGAGGAAGTCGCGCGGTGAAAAAGTTGCAGTGAAAATATACGTCCAAAAAAAACTCCTTCTTTCAAATAATTTTCTCCAATTATTAATGAGTATGTTTGAATAATAAAACTGCGATTGCTCACTATTGTTTAATCAATGATCGGATGTAGTATCGTTTTTATTAAAAAACTTATACATTAGTTATCATATTAAATTAATGTTGTTAATGCAATATTCTTTGGCCAGTAGTTAACAAACTTTTGTCACGTTAGAAATATATTAACAAGCAATGTCTTCAGTTATGAAGTATTACTTATTTATAATTTGCATACTAGGCTATAGTACGATGATTGAATAATGAAACCTAAAAAAATACAATAAATGTGAAATATAA